AAGATTCATTTGTCCTTAGTTAAGATGACCCTAAATTTCTTCAGATGGTGGCTACTGGAGGATATAATTGGAGGCACCTGGCACTTGTTCACTAACTTTAGTTCAAGATTTTACTTTTGTAAGAGATTCTTCAGTAGATAAATTCAGAATGATTTATCCCTTTAATTCTCTAGCTTTAATACCCATAAGCTATTTCCTTAATGATTTAGAATTGCATGATGCAGGAGATAGTTAAACATACTCTCCAAGAGATTAATTTCCTGCTTTTTCACTAGTGTTGACTTTTTTTTTTTTAAACCAGGAATATTATGGATTTCATTTGCCTTTTCTAATCACTGTAATTTGTAAAATATTGCCTGTCACTGTCCTGTTTGATGTGGAGATAGGGACATTTTGTGGATTGCATTCTGAGGAAGGTGATGCATTGCTTTCAGACATGGGAGAAAGAAGAAGAGAGTTTTACTGGGAGTCCTGTGGCTAGCTGTTCTACAAGGTGGCTTGCAAGGAAGCTGCTTCTTCCCAAGGAAGACAATTGAGCCTGTGGCTAGATAAGCACTTTTAGGTTGGCACTGATGAGGGAAGTAGTCCTTGGCCTCCTCTCTGCTCCTAATTTTCTTCCCTTTCTTTGTGGGGGTGCAGTTGGCTGTGTAGTGAAGACAGCACAGAGCTGATCCAAACAAAAAATAACGTGGAAAAAGAAGTTACTTTTCAGTTTAATCAATTTATTGTCCCATTTACAATGGGGCTGTACAGGCAGTTGTGCTGGCATAATGGAGAAGATGGGAATGAAAGGTAGGGAGGAGAGTAGGACTGCCCTTTTCAGTAGATGACCCAGTATAAAACCTATGTTTGTGTTACAACTTTGCTTGGTGGTGATATAAAGGGCCTAGCAGGCCAAACTTGCTCTTAGCACCATAAAACTTCTCTTCCTCAGAAAACAATTTGTATATAATTTCAGATCTCTTGTTTACAACTGTAGCATAAGCTATCAACAGCTTTCTAAATTTGTCTTGTCTGGCTTTAACTGCATGCTGAAGAGTGGGAGCCAAAGCAGAAAGATGACTAGTATATTGGCTCAAATAACATTTTACTGAAAATACCCTGGTTGCAGGTATTTTGAGCCTCTTCCTGAACTTTCAATACAAAAAGTATTATGGATGCTTAACCCACAGATACTAATTCCTCTATGGCATAGGTCCTACCCTTTTCTCAGTTTATGGTTCTTCTGCTCATCCCAAAACTGCCAGAATATTTTTTCCACTTTTTCCAAAAGCCTGCTTATGTTACAGCCAATGAAGCAGCTTTTTTCTTTTTCCTAACTTTCTGATGTACATTGTAATTTTGCTATACATACAGAGAACAGTTTGACTGAAACTATACGTTTTACCCAAACCATAGATGTAGTGAAGCTGCTTTGACAAGCAACTTTAATATCTCTCTGCCCTTCTCAAGCTATGAAAAAGGTACCAAGAACATTTGCCAAAACTGTTTAGCCAAATGCCTAAACATATCCTCCAACCACACTTGTAGTGCTCAGGCACAGCAGACTCGGTCTGAGTCAGACTGACAGTGCTTCTAGAATAATTCTGTTTCAGATGTTAAAATTTGTGGATGGATAATGAAAGCACCTCTGCTGACTGCAAGTGCATTAAATAACAGCAAAGCACACCACTGCAGACAGTCAGGAGACTAACATTAATCAAGGTGTTCACCTGTATTTTGTATTGAAGCTTCCCAAAACAAACAAAACCACTGAAAACATTAATCAAGCTACTACCTGTGGTTCCTTCGTCTTGACAGTACCAGCTCAATTGAGAGCTGGTTAGCCTGAGGATTCTTGCTCTTTACTAAGTAATGCTATCTCTTGCACTCATCTTCTGAGCATATCCACTTGTATTAAAGTGCCTTCGTGTGGCAATACTTGAAAGCCTTCTTCAGAATTCATTGTGCCCGATGTTTTGACTAAGCAATTTATATTAAAACCATTTCTGCTTCCCTTGCCTGTTCTCTCCCTTCCCTTTTCTCCCCCCTCCTTTTTCCTGAGTAACTGTAGGGTGAGAAAAGAAGCAGTTTTGCATTTCAGTACACTTAATGTAGCCAAGAGGTTTGTTCGTTGCCGCTTTGTACTTTCAGGCAAACGAGAAAATTTAGATTAATAGGTTGTTTATTCTTTTGCGTGTTCCTTAAATCAAAGGCACTGGATTGCATTATTAAAGAAGTTTTGTGTGGCAGGCTTGGAACTGTCCTCACTGAGCTTACATAAAGAAAAACGATTGCTTTTCATCCCCCACTCATTATGCAGACTGGCACAGGAACACTGTTAAATGCGGTATCATGTACTATCACTTAAAGACTTTCCTTCTGTACAGCTGATGTTGGACTCCAATTTCACAGGATGATCTGTCTTGGAACAGACAAGGAAAATCCTAGAAATAGAAACACATATGTCCTTATACTTTAAAAATTTAAATATTCACCAGTTTAATGAAGAGAGGTTTTGTTTAGAACACTAGTGACTGCTTCGCAGTGCTCTCGGATCTCTTCATTGGGGATCTGTTCATTTGTTTCTCATCTGTTGAGTTAGCAATAATGCACAATTAGGCCTTCAGCGATAATCTACCCAGCCAAATTAATGAGGAAAATATTCAATGTTATTTTGAGACCGGACCCATAACTGAAGGATCTGGCTAGTGTTGGGTAGCTGAGTAAATTCCTGACTCTGTCCTGTGGATGTTCTGTGCTGAATGGGCCATAGTGTATCTCTGGGTCTCTGATTACATTAGGTACTCTAATTCCCTTGGCATTCTGTGACAGAGAGTCTCTTTTGACCCAAGGCCTTCTGCTTCGAAAGTGAAAAGTCTTGGGGATGTAATTTTAAGAGAATGAGATTGTGCCTGTCTTATGTAAATAAGAGGAAAGAAGTTGCTTTGCCTTATAGGTTCTACTTCAGCTCTAGCTAACATTCAGAATGAGAAAGGCAATATTGCACATTCAGCACTGCAATTCATCATCTTAAGAACTGGGAAGACCTCTGTTGTGTGCCACATACCAGCATCGCCAGGTGCACAGCGGGAAGTAAGCAGTGTCACAGTTACCAGACTAGCCAAACTGCTGAACTTTCCTTGTGTAATAGTAGGTATTATTCTTCTTCAGCCTCAGACCTGATGCAGGATGGAATAATCATGATTTTTCTCATTGCATGCTGGGTTCCTGATTTTGCAGTCCCTTTGCCTGAATTAGAACCCTCTTGTTGGTCTGACTGAAACTTAGTTCCTGCACTTCCATTCTCTCTGAGGTACCAGTGCTAGGTTCTCCAGGTCTCCCTAGAGAAAAGTGTTTAAAGAAAACCTTATATGTAGGCTTGTTTGTACAGTATACTGTCATCTTCCGCCTGAGGATCATGCAGAGTTCCTCCAGCCACTTCCATATTTCTCTTCTCTATGTTAGTTTGCCTCTGTATCACAGATCACTGGGTTTTCCCTGACAAGTAACCATGCTCTTTCTCCAAGGGCTCTTAGCCCCTTTTGGGGAAATGAGAGTGCTGATGCTTTGGTTTTTAGGGGTTTTTTTCATTCGTTTGTTTTCAATGTCTGCATAGGAAAGCGGTGGTATCTTTTCTACCTGAAACATGCAAAGGTACTAGTGTCTTGTAACTGCTGTCCCAAATTTTCAGGGATAGTATCATCTTTGTTTGGTCTTTTTATAACTATTCAATTCTCTAGATTGTTCATTCATGCCACGTTTTCTGTTCCCATTAATGCTTGTAGGCCATGATAGCCAAGTTCATAAAAGGATTACAGATCTCTATTTATAATGTTACGTATCAACTTTTAACCTGCTATAAAGTGCCTCAAACATGAATAATTAGACTACTGTATTCTTCTCCTGTATTCCCAAGCAGGGGAGGAATTGTGACTGAATCCCAGACTTCCTATGCGCAGCTAGTGCTGTTTGATCTGTGACCAATCTGTGACTCGGCTGAACATTGTCACTTCTTTGAGAAAATCATAAATATTTTTTATCTTTTTGCTTAATAATTCTAGATACTATTTTACCTGCTTTAATTTTACCCTTTCATTCAATGATTTTTTTCCTTATAGCTTTTGGACATTTTTGAGTTAGATATGGCCATTTGCTGATATATCATTATCACTAAATGCTAATCTTGTTTATGTTGCTGACCAGCAGTACTCACGCTTACAAAAATTAAAATGCTGGAAAGATGAATAATAAATTATACTTGGTTTACAGAGCATAAGTTTTATCTAGTCAAAACTCTTCTGTCCCTGTTCCCATTTAGCATCTGAAGGCACATTATTGCAGCCACAAACTCCAGTCCTGCATCTCCATGTATTCCTGCTATACCAGAGACTTCTAGTAGTTGTATAGTTTTCTTTTTGTTTCCTAATAGGTAGAATAAAAAGCGTTTTTTATTGCTTCCTTTTAACATCTAGAATAGTTAACATTTTTACTCAGACATTGAAATCGGAATCTAATCTGTCTAGCACTGAAAAACTTTCAAATCTACACTGTATTCACAGAAAGACTTTAGGGTGATACAGACAGCAGTTCAAGAAGAAAAGAAAATCAGAAGAAAAGCTCATTAAATTTCCGAATAATTCACTGATTTGTTATTTCAAAGCTTAACTGCAAAGCAAGTAATGATGATCTTCTTTGTGCTGTGGCAGTGGGTGCAGAACTACATGTCCTTCATTCAGCAAAAGTCTGTTCTGGTCACAGCTGTGTATACAAAGCTGCAAATGAAAATGAGATGTACACATAAAGACTCTCAGTCTATTTCCCTCTGCAGCACTCATCTGTTTGTTCTTTACCAAACCCCAGAAAACATCCTCCTAAAAGGAAAGAGCAAAAGTAAATAGTGAGAAGATTTGTTTTATCCCTTGATAAACATGTCATGTAAAGTGACTTTCCAAACATATCCCATTTAGTGGAGGTAATTTAGAAGCCTTGAACTTCGGCATTGTTTGTTGCCCACCAGCATGGAGCCTCAAGGCCCCTATTCTTCTTATCAGAGTTTCCGATTCCAGGAGCTGGTAAGTAAAGCTTTGTTTTGGCACATGGACCCAGGTTCTCAAGTCCAGAGAGTCACTTCTATATTTCTCTAATAACTGAGGAGCTGTTTCTTGTAATTTGTATTTGTCTGTTGAACATCTTGGAGCTTTTTTGGACGTGGGATATTTTTTGCTTTCCTTTGGGATCCCCTATATGTTAATGATTTTATTTAATCTTGACTCTTTTAAGAACTAGCACTACTAGTTTCAGAGCCCTTAGTGCTGCATATAGGTGGGGACTTGGAACAGCAAAGCCTGAAACAGATCCAGGCAGGAGATAACTCATGTGAAAGACAACTGGAAGGATGGATGTTACCTTTAAACATGCTGTGAAAGTGAGAGGAATATGAATTAATACATTTATATAGCATCCTTTTTTTCACCATCCACTTCACATAGAGTACTACTAAAATGCAGCTACATCTTGATGTAGTGAGTTTAGATATAGTTCTTTTGCCAGAAACACCAGGAAGCAATTTTTTTTTTCCCAAGAGGGCAGCATTAAGAAACATTTATAATTGCATGGAGCAAATAGGACCTCAGCTTTTAAGCTCTGCTTTGAAAGATCCAGCACATTTCCTTTGAGTCAAGAACATATGCTGAAATACATTACATTTAAGTACTTCTTAAAGCTATATTGCTGTATGATTTGCACCATCTGATTTTCAGACTTGCTCCATAAGTCTCAACATCTAATGGGAAAAGAAGGGCAAATGTTGCAGCAAATAAAAGGAACATGTGTTTTGTAAGTCTTCAGTGGCTGGAGATGCTTAAAGAGCAGCTTTCATCTTGACTCCCACTCTGAGGGTTTATCATACTTGCATTTCCATGATGGGTTTTTTTGCTGAACAGTCAGGATATTGTTGCATAGGATATGGAAAAATATAAGTGAAACCACAAAGAGTACAGTTATGTTAGAACAATGTAGCTGAGGCCCCAGCAGCTAGTAGAGGTTAATACAGTGTTACTCACTATGGATGGCACATCTCACTGTTGTCATTAAATGGGTTAGTCAGCAGTAACTGTATTTGGGGTTTTAGGACTCCTGCCATCTTTTATTCCAAGTAAGGATATTCCTATATCTTTTAGAGGTTGTGTTTTATTTCTTCTTTGCATTGTCTTCTCAGCAGCCTACATCACAGCACAAATCCATCCAGGAGTTTCCACAGAATACCCATCATGCTTCCTTTAGGAGAAATCACTTGCACATCATATCTGATCAAAATCATTTGCTCACTATGCTAAGCTATCATCCCACCACTAATCAGTTAAGTGATATTCCTTTTTATTACTCCTGCTATAAAGATCTTTACAAAGATCCTGAAGAGCCTGTGACCTCATTATGAGGCTGAAAAAGATTAAACAACTGAACTCTCTCTATTTTCAGTTTCTACAAGCCAGGATTACAGTATGGATTCATGTCTACATTTGTCCTCCAGTAGATGGCCTTTTTTTTCCCCTCTAGAAAGCCTTGTGCAGCAACAAGAAAGTGTCCTTTTTCTTTCCACAACAAGAGTTGCTCTTTTGTCTAGTTTCTTGCACTTCCCTGATTACCATAATATATGCATACCATCAGTGTTAGGGCATAATGCTGGAGGATTTAGGGCATTTGCTTGAACTTTCCTCCAGCAAAATATTCTTAACTTGTGGTTCATGGTAGATGGTCCATGGAAGTGTATTTAGCTGTAAAATAGGTGGCATTTAAGTTAAACTTTGACAAAGATGCATGATGTCCATGAGAAACTTTCAGGATTAATGGACGTCTGAAGAGTTTAGAACTTGCTGGGCTGAAGCTTAAAGAACATAAAAAAGAAAAAAAAAAAAAAAAAGCTTTGTTTCATTTTTTAGAAATTAGTATCTGTGTTAAATTCTTATTAAACATGTATTTCTCCATGTGAAATACAGAGAAAAGTAATTTATTTCCTTCTCTCTCTTCTTCTCAATCTTTTTAAAAATTATTTTTTAGGACACGCAGCTCACTAGACTATTATAAGAGTTAAAATCAAGAGACATTACAGAACCTTAGCCAAAAGCATACCCCTAAAAGGGGTAGTTGGATGCTGAGTTGTTTCAGGTTTCTCTTAGTGCATTCATTCTGTTCTGCATTCAGACCAGTTCTGTGTGGTGGTCATTTATAATCATTAATCTAGCTCATTGATATTGTAATGCGCTCCAAACATTCTCTGTGGAGCTTACATGCTCCACTGCGTTTCCTTCTAAATAACTAATGATGATGTCTTCAGTCTTGTCATTAACCAGATTACCTTCCTCCAGCCAGTTCTCTTATTGATTTGATTGGTTTGAGGTTCATTTTCTTCTCGAGTTTTTACACTCATAAAAGAGACTCAGTATCGGTGTGCTTGAGAGTATTTTACATGACTGAACAACGCTGCCCAAGCACAGGTCCAGATACTGCAGTACTTATTTTTATGAATAGAGGCTTCAGCTGTTGACTCAGAGGCTCCCAAAAACAGTGTCCTTTCATTTCAGACTGTTTACCTCGGCATTATAATTTGTGAAAGAAAATTGGAGAAAACTAGCCAACAGTCTGGGTGCTTGGGATTATACTGCATAGCCTGTATATAAACCTATATATGAATATACTGTGCAGTAAATTCAAAGAATGGCCAGGACTATGAATGGCTTTCAGTTCTTGGAAGATTCATGTTTAAGTCAGGTAGTCAAATTGTTCCAGGTAAACACAAGTGCCCAGAGAAGATGTGCTAGACCTTTGTGGATTTGTGCTTTGTGGATCACAACCAGCTTCTTGAAGTTCAACCACAGTGAGCTGACTGCTTTGTGTAATTGCATACTGGTGTCACTCTTGGTGGCATGTGGGATTCTTCATTCTTCACAAGCCTGAACTTGTCTCTTTCACGGTTGGGCTCATGATGGATACGTTTCAGAGAAGCGGTATCAGAGTGCCTGCTGCGATGACAAATGTTGGTGAAGGTGCAGTTAACTGTTCAGAACTTTGCAGTGGATTATTTAAGAGTCAATGCAGTGCAGGGGCAGGGAGCTATCCTTGATTGTGATCTAAATTATGCTGAAATGTTTTGTCTCTCTTCCATGGAATGTTTGCAGCAACTGCACTGTTCCTTGAAAGCCTCTTCCAAACCAGTCATTAAAAGAGAAAAGTCCAAAACATTTCTGTTTCATTCATTGTTCTGAGAAAATTGTTGACTGTTGCACTTCATGCGTTTACATGCCACGTTGAAGTCTGAAACACTTGGGAGATTCAAGGTATTTGAAAATACCTGATTCTACTGGAACTGGTTCACTGGAACCTTTCATTGGTGTTTCCTGGAAAGGCTGGGCTAGAAAGAACCTGGAAGTCAAGGAGATCTTTGATCTGTGATTGCTACAGCAATCTGCAGCATTTCCATAGTTCATTGTATGTCCTCCTTAACCTCTACCTCCTTTTCTTTTTAGGCCAATGTCATAGCTTTCTTCTGCTCCGTGACCCTGTGTGCATGACACAGCTGGGCTGTCTGCCAGCTAACTATTTCTTGGGGCTCCCAAAGCAGAAAGGAAATACCAAACAGTAACTGAAGACTGTGTGCCTCTACCTGGCCACAGTCCCATTATTGTCACTAGACCTAGTACATATCTGAGGGAGGAGGGCTTGGATATAAGGTCCTGTATTGCATGAGATGCAGCTGCATACCACCTGCCCATTTACTCTGCCCGTCTCGTGATGCGTAGCTATGAATTCTTTAGTTGTTTTGAAGATCTTAAGCTTAATGACAACTTGTTTTCTTGAATAGAGGCTGATCCACATCTTGTCTAAAGATTACTGCTGCTGTTTGAGAGCTTGGGGAAATGTTGATGGTACACTCCAGTGAAGTGTAGCCGGCATTACTTTGTTGCCTGCATTCCTGTACTTCACTATTAAGATTGCTGTGGGTCCTGTTTCAAGTGGTTGAGCAGTCTGCCCCCCAGATGGCCAGAACTCCAACAGGAATGTTTGCCCCTTATTGTTTACATGACCGATTAGCTCTGGCATTGGATTGATTATTTTCTCAATGAGTGACTGAAAACTTCTCGCAGTGCGGAAAAATCAGCTGTTGAACAAGATAGAAGCAGTCTAAATTTATTAGTTCCTATTGCTCAGAAGATCTGCTGGTTACATCTTTAGTGACATTGCAGTGAAAGGAAAAAATAGTTTCACAGTTGACACATACGAAGAATGTCAAATGTCACAGCATTTCAGTTATAAATTACTCTCATTCTGAAATTGTACCTTATTTCTAGTGTTCTAGTTTATCTGTCTTAAGAACCAGTCTTGTGTTGTGTTGTTTTGGTTTGGTTTTGCTATGCCTATATTTGGGAGATTAAAGTGCCTCTTATTATCTGATGTCATGTCCCTTGTAGCTACCTACAGACCAAGGATTACCAGAGGTGGTCTCTGCTGTTCCACAGGCTTAAGTTACCCAAGAATATACAGCGTATTTATAATCACACTTAACTTTAGATGTTAGGACATTCTCAACATTTCTTACTTGGCTTTTTAGTGCCTCTGAAACATGAGGGGAAGTCATGCATTTTCATACTACAGTCCACAAAACTAGCCTCTTTGTTTGCTTCAGGCCTATGTCCTCTGGAGAAGGCTAAATGTCCTTTTGGATCACACTGAACGAGCTGAGCATATCTTTAGGATTATATGTGCTTCAGAATATGCACAGAATTATCTTTGCAAATGTTAAAGAAAGCTGCATGGAAAAAATTTGGTGTCTATGTAGTAAATAAAGTTTAAGCCATTATTTGATTGCTGTAGTCAATAATGTACTGGAAAATTTAAACCAGGCTCTTGTATTTGTCATCTTCCATCTTCTTTTTCTACTTCTGGAAATACTGACAGAAGTTGTGGCTGCTTCTCCTTTCTTATTGTTGGCTGTTCTTGCACTTCAGGAACTCTGAATTCTTTAAGCTCCAACTTCATTCAAAGTCCCATCCTATAGTTAAAACAAGAAATTAAAGAG